TTCCTTCCGAATTTGGAAATCTCAATAAGTTAGAGGTCTTGTCTCTTTCGTCTAATGGCTTCCTCGGCCAAATTCCTTCCTCATTCAATAGCCTAAGCATGCTTTCTAAATTAGACCTTTCTCATAATAAGCTCACCGGTAGTTTCCCACTGGTAGGAAATCTAAACAACCTCTCCTTTTTAGACTTTTCCTATAACCACTTCGCTGGAATTCTGAATCCGGATAGTAGCCTCTTTCACCATCTCAGTTACCTTGATCTCTCTTTCAACAACTTCAGTTCCGAACTCCCTTCTAGATTTGGCAATCTCAACAAACTAGAGGTCTTGTCCCTTTCCTCTAATGGCTTCTTCGGTCAAGTTCCTCCCACAATTAGTAACCTAACCCGTTTATCTAAGTTGTACCTTGACACAATCGAATTCACTAGTAGTTTTCCACAAGTACATAATCTAACCAAGCTCTCCCGTTTAGAACTTGCTGACAATAGATTTTCTGGAACCATTCCTTCTTCTCTCTTCACTATGCCTTTCTTATCATTTATTGATCTACGTGAAAACCATTTTGTTGGTTCAACTTCTCTTTGTCATATAGTCTCGAGCATCTACTCCTTGGCCATAACCATTTTGAAGGACAAATCATTGAGCCTATCTCAAAACTCATCAACCTCAAGCAACTTGACCTTTCTTTCCTAAACTCAAGTGACCTGATTGACATAAGTCTCTTCTTCTCTATCAAATCTTTGCCGTCCTCGATCTTTCTAGTAATAGTATATATCTAGCCAATTTAAGGTCAGATTCATACGTCCCACTGAATCTTGTTAGATCTGAAATCAGTAGAATAGACAACTATACTAGATCTTAAAATAGTTAACTATGTTTTTAAATTGGTAACTATACTCTGGAAAATAGTTAACTATGTTTTACATAGTTATAAAATAGGGTGAGGTAGCTAACTATCTTATGAGATCAATAGAATATGTAGTTTCAGAAATAGTAAACTATGTTATTAAAATAGTTAACTCGTAAAATTTTGTCATTTTTTGTGTTTTTATAACCCAAATTTATTTTGTTTGCAGATAGTAGATCTACCTTTTTTTAGAGATAACACAACTTTAATGGCAATTTTTCAGAGAAAAAAAAATATTATTTAGAGATTTTTTCATATTTACCTTAATTTATACTTATAAAAGAGAAGTCGTGTCGACTCCGGAGTGAATTCGTGAAGTTATCTTGTAATTACTAAAACGTCTTTATTTGCGTATTTTATTTACTTTAGATTCATTATTCTGTTTGCTAATCATATTAGTTTTAGTAATTCATCTTGGGAGTCTAATGTGAGGAATATTTGATCTCTTCTTATTTTGGCAAAGATTTTAGTTCTCTAAGAATATTTCTAAAATCTTAACCTAAAATGTTGGTTCTCTTCAACAATATTGATAACAGAATTAATAAAGAAAACCTGACCTTTACACTGCACAACTTGGCTTAAAGTATGATATATTTCTTCTGTACGAATCTTCTAAAAGACATTTTTAAACTCTTTATCATACCATAATTTCATCGGCATTTATATTGTTTTTGGTTTCTAGGCATTTCATCTAAGGACATCTCTTAGAGCGAGGGGACCTCTTCAAGGGTAAGTCTCAAACTAGATACACAAACGATTTTGTGTTGTTTGATGATCTCTCATCTCTGTACCTACAATTATGTTTCTTATTGCATTCGCACTAACTAATGATCATGTGCACTTCATAATGTTAGTCCATGTCCTTAGGTTATCTCAACACTAGAATCAAGACTTCTCTGAATGTTTTTACACGTCTTGGTGCAGGTCAAAGTCCATTGGTTCCAAAAAGGGTAGGAAAGTCAATGAATCTCGTAGCTCAAGGACAAATGGTCAAGTTTGAGTCTAAGATTGGCCTTCTAGACTCCAAAGGTGATTTTACATACCCGCAGGTAAATAGTACTAATTGTCTTCAGTTTCAAAATTTCATAAAAGCTGTTGAGAGTTGAGAAAATATATGTTGTTATGATATTGTTGTGTGTGTGCGAGTGTATAAGTTGGACATGATGTATTGGTATGTATACAGATAATGGACCTTGCTTTATTTCAGAGGAAACGTCAGTCTCAAGGCACTTGTGACTTTGCCCACACAACAATTGTCTCAGCATCTAATTCCAGTGAGTCTCTCACTAACCTCTCTGTATTTATTCATTAAATTAATTGCAGAAAATAGTGTGTTGATGCAATTTTCACATTTGGGAACCCAAATGATAAAAGAAATAGTTGAAATTAAGAGAAGGGAATAGAATATTTAATCCAGAGTAAAATGTAAACCAACTTGAAAGAAAATCAGAGGATAATATATATCAAATCTAAATTTCACGTATTTTATTAGTAATTGTAATTTCTTATGCCATTGTGGTCTGTCTTTCTTTCTTCGTCCCTTTATCTATTAGTTGTTTTGAAAGAAGATGTGGTTTTGGTATGGATAATAGTAGCTAATATAGACTATCTCTCTAGACCTTTGCTTCAGCTGATTTCTACAAATTTGAGATGGATTTGTGTGTTGTTCTGTATCATTTGATGCAGTGTTAGTGGAAGCACAACTCCATTGGCGACCACAACTTCGACAAGAGTCACTCCAACAACTAATACAAGACCCTACTCAGTCACACCATCAGCAGGATCGCCTC